TAAATAGGAACACTTTGCTTTCACAGAATAGGAATGCTTCATTTCACAAAATAGGAACACTTTGCTTTCACAGAATAGGAATGCTTCAGTTTCACAAAATAGGAACACTTCACTTTCTCTCTGATTGTTCTGGTATGTAATAATTCTTTCCTGGCTGAATATAATCTTGAAGTATACTTTGTTTGTTTATTGTTAAGCTGCACAATGAACTATCCGTACTGTGCCCACCATAAGTTTAAATATACATAGATTGCCCTTATGAATATAGTGCATCATTTGAGACTCGGTATACTAATTTTTCTCCTCCATTACTTATTGAAACATATTTGAAGTATAGGCTTCTAAAGTTGCCTTACAGCAGGGTTAGATGTTTTTATTTTGATAAATTTCTTCTTTTCTCCCTTGCCTTTTCTTATTAAAAAGTTTTCTACACATTAGGCAACATTTAATGTATGTAACTTCTATTGTTTTGACCAGAATTTACATCAACTGTTATGAAAAGCATTCACACTGTATTGACCAAGACTGAACTGAATAACTTTTTAAACTGAAAAATCGCTGTGTGTCAACTTAACTAATAAAAACTGTTATTCTGAAGGTTATATGTTCTGGTAATTATGAATTTCATTACTTTACAGAACTGTCTAACTGTTCTGATTAAGTTTTTGTTTTTCTTGTATAGGGGTTCCAGTTCTTCTAAAGAAAAGTTTGCCTTTTGTGAAAAAACAACAACTTATGTTTTAGTGATGCACATTAAACAGACTTGGTTTTAGAGGAATTTCTAACTAGTCAAACTGAATCATTACAGCAGTCCTTGACAAAACCATTGGAAGATGAAGAGGGTGGATAAAAGGATGGTTCATCTTCATTGATTTGTAGGAACTCAATAAGAGTACCTTCTCTTACTGTAAAAATCTCCATATCACTGATTCTAAAATATAGGGACAGACCATGTAATTGCCATTTTTATAACTTTTAAAATATATTTCTCAAAAATACTCTGAGCTGATGTTATTAATTGATTTCAAATAATTTTTTTCTTGTAGAAATTTTGTGATTGTATCTTATTTATGTAGTAAAATTTATTAATATCTGTCACCTCTCAAGCATGTAATCACCTCCAGGTTATTTCCTATAACAGTGTTTATGCAATGGCAAGAACCTTAAACAAAGTACTAGAGGCTTTATTAATCTACCCTGAAATAAGTTTTTTTTAAGAAGTAAAAAAATATTTGCTAATTCTAATTTTAAACTGAAGTGCTGTTCCTGGTTTTAATGTTAACTCTGTGAGTTTTTACTGCTAAAAAATCCACTAGGTTGTGTTGTTAGATCATTCAGATGAAGTAGAAAAAAGCTGGAGGCAGTCATTTTAGATTCTCTTTGTGGTAATTGTTTCAGATAAGAATTTTTAACTACTTTCTTTCCAGTTTATCTAGACTTAGAGATGCCTTTTTACAACATCACCACCACTGCTTCTTTAAATTGAACATTATGTAACTTCAGAACTGGCATCGTTTTTCAGTAACAGGAGTTTTACTGTTAATCTCCCAAACAATGCACTCCATCTATTTTAGATTAGGAGGTACGAAAAAAAAAAAACCTTTGAAATAATACTTTTATGCTCTAGAAATAGTGAAGGAGGTGATGTATCCCAGAGGTGAACAGAACTGGAAATTGCAATCAACATTGATTGAACACTGCTGTGTCAAAGAATTAGTCACACATTACACCAGACTAGCTTTTGTGTCCATTTTAACCCATATTTATTAAGCATCAAATTGAATGCACTTTAAATTATTTTTTTCCAGGATCTACTGTATGAATTGTATATTTAAGTATACACTGATGAATTTATTTACTTAACTTTAGATTCAGTGCTTTAGAATGATCCTTTTTAATTTTTTTGTACCTTCTATTTTTTCTTATTTGTTCTAACCATACTCACTACCTGAGGATTTTTGTATAGGCTTGCTGACTGTAAAAGATGTTTTTAGCTTTGCCTACATGGACACTAATTTACTTTTGCTGCGAGACATTAGGATGACATTTACCATTGTCCAACTCATTTTCACTTGGAAGAGAAGTCATTTTTAAGAAATTGATTAAAGTTATTGTTTGCTTTTTTTTTCATGTTGTCATATCTCCTTGTTCATTCTACCCAATTTGTTGTCTTTTAAACCTGTCATTTAATTCTGTAATAAACTTATTTTTGGCTTCTTTCAAGTTGTGATAATACCTTTCTTTCATTTTAACTTCATAAAGAAAATGGCCATTCTTAATTCTTTGTATGCTTCTCATTTCATACAACTCACTTCAACTAAGCATTTATTTGAAAGTGTTTTCTTAGTTTTTGCCATGTCTTAAAGATAAAATTGGTAATGCTAACAAGTGCTGCCATCTATTGGTTATTATACACAGCACAAATGCCTGTATTAAATTTCTTTTTTTTAATTAGTAATATAGGATATTAACTTTTAGTTCTGACCATGCTCTTAACATGAAATTCTTTTAAACTGGTATTACAGATTATTCCTGTCATCATGAATCTCGCATCCTATTTAAACTTAGCATTAAGTTAAATGTTTGTGAAAAAAAAAAGTTCAGACTTTGAAAGTATTCAGATTTTTTTAGAAAAAAAAAAATTGCTATTATCTACAGATATTAGTCCAAATGAAACCTAAAGCTTAAGCCTGTTTACTTAGTATAGGAATTGGGGCCTTTTTTTTATTAGGAAAAGATGTAAGATACTAAAGGATGCAGTTTAAACTAATTGGGTTTGTATGTAACATGTTCTACAATTTAATTCCCAAAACCAACATTAGATACTGTCTTTTCTTTCCATAATGTTAAAAACACAGAAGTCTGTATGTTAGTGAACTTTCATACGAGAAATTTAAAATTAAGTTACAGAGCATCACAGATTTATAAACCCTAAATTAGCAGATAATCGTTTTTCACAGCAGTTAACTTTTTATTGCAAGATTAGAATCAATTGTACTGGAAAATTAAATGACACAAATAACTGTGATTATAAAATACTGTTTCATGCTGAATGATTTATTGGTTATTACATTGTTTAACAACTCTGAAATTATGATGTACTGTGTGTCATTTCATAATTTTAAGATCATACAAAAAACATAAAAGGGCTGCTTGATCCATTGAGATCACTCATCACCTATTGAAACATAAAACTAAAAATAAATTTAGGCCATACATTCACGAACCTATCTAACAGAATTACAAAATAAACTGTTTTATAGTCTGAGATGTGTTTCATATTCCATGAATGCTATTATTCACTGTTTTAACTATGCCATCATGTATGCACCTAACTCACGATTAACTATTTTTGGGCTTTCTCACTTAAGCTAGAATAAATGTAACCAGTGAGATTAGTCACATTTTATAAATGTGATGTTTTAGGGTCTATGCTGCAGTTAGAACTATTTCTTTTATCATTGGTCCTACTCAGTCTGAAAGTGTTGATTACACAATTACTGTCTGATTCCACCATTTCCTTTGTTTGTGTTTGGATGTTCACTTTAAGCTATACACAGGCTATCTATACTAACCATCCTTAAATCTGAATGGATAAATTAAAGGGAAGGCAGCTAGTCAAAAGCACCCACTATTAACTCTTGTTGGACCAAACAGTGGGATTTGACTATCACTTTTATAATGCATCCATGGCCCCAAAGTGTGGAGAACAATTTTGTTTTTGTGTGTGGCAATGGGATACAAACCATAAACACTCAGATCTAAAGTAGCTCCAACTTGCTTTGTAACAAGTTTTTGCAAAGGATGGTAAGATCATTCTTAGACTATTCCTTCTCTTGACAAATTTTCCACAAACCTTACACTGTATGTGGCCATTGGCTTCTGAGGCCATGTTTGAGGAAACTAAAGGCACAAAAGCCCAATGAAGCTACACTGGGAGACTTAGCTGGTGTAAAAATAGGAATGAAACAGCCATTGATTTTGAGAAAGGGTTTGGCTAGACAGTATGTTACTGTTCTAACCACTCTGTTGTTTAAGCTTCTTACTTCCACTGAGACAATAAGTTTCACCTTTTCATATGTGGTTTCTTTTGGCTCCACCTCATTTAACAAAGTCAGAAAATCTTTACATATCCTTCCAGGTTAAATTATGGCAGCACCGTACTATCAAAGGGTCAAAAGTATGCCACAAACCAAATACTTATGTCCTAAGTGTATTGTCCAGAATGTCATGGCCCACATATGTGGTGACTGTATTAGCAATGTAAACTACTGAAAGTGTCATTAACACACTGTACAAACATTATATATGCTACCTTTCTGTATTTTAAAGAACATTCTTTTCATAAATCAAAAACTTAAATTGTTAACTTTTCAGCATTTCACAGATCTGTTTTTTGCCAAATGTTGGCAGGTTTTTCATTCTCTATGTATTTAATAGGAAATCAATGAATACATTTTAAATAAGAGTAGGTTGTCACACAAATGTACAGTTACAAGAAAAGGTTTTCCTTTGCAGATAATTTTTACAGGATACCCTTTTCCATAACCCGTTATATTCTAGAATATCATCAGAGTTTAAGTTTAAAAGCACAACAGAATGTGTACATGTATTACATAAACATACTATCAATGAAGAAAAGAATGAAAACAAACTAATAATTTTGTATTTTATTGAGAACATTTTTATAAAATGTATAAAAAGAAAGTACAGGAAAAAAAAACGTCTTTCCAAACTATAAATACACCTGGTTCTAATTCCTAAGCCTAACTTCCTCATCTTACAGTTTCACAATTAAAGTAACAGCACCATCTAGATGTAATAATCCTTAATTTAATATTCTTTTTTCTGAAGGGGTTTCACTTCTATGAAAGCTATGCCTATTTTTGTTTATATCTATTATTATTATACATTTTTTAAGAAACATTTCTTTAACATCTAAGGGGTTGGCCTGGTTGTCTTTACTTTTATGAACTAGTGTAATAAAGATATATCTATTATCAAGGTTTACGATGTTTTTTATTACCAAATAATCCATCAAACTTCTGTATTAACTAACTCACACTTGCACACAAAATTCACGATAATTTTGATGTTCTTTTAACAGGTTGCGACCTTTTGGCCTCATTTGACATGACAAAATGAATTTGTGTTCGATCCTGCCGCTTACTATGCAAATCTCTTGCACTATTTATATCCTTCGAAAGTTCAGCTACTTGTCGCATCACTGGAACAGGGTACCTAGAAAATATAAACAAACTATTCGATGACGAGGAACCCACTTTGAGACTAATAATGGCTGGAGACGGCTTAAATGGGTAATGAAGAAAAACTTTAATATAAATTTAACATAACAGCAAATGTACAACGTACGTACTACGTAGTATAGACGTAACTAACGTACGTAACGTAACGTACGTACTTACGTATCGTGTACTAGTTACTTAATTATTAATTTATTTACTTACTTA